TCAACACTGAGTGTGGTGGGGCGTCCCTGCCGTCAGACTCTCAACACCGAGTGTGGTGGAGTGTCCGTGTCCCCAGACATCCCTGTGCCATTGCTCCCCCTCTGCCCTCGGGAGAGGCGAGTATTTGGCATGGACACTTTTGGGATTGCTCCTCCAGCCAGCATGGGGAGCAGCTGTGTCTCGTGGTCTAGTCTGTGTAGGGTGGTGACTGTCCCTCAGCGGGTTTGGGACAGGAAGTGCCCTGTGCACAGGGCAGCTCATTGTGTGAAGACATGTCCAGTGTGTCTTTAGTCCCTTGTGCACATGAGGACTTTACCTGCAGCGCCCTTGAAAGGGTGTGAAATAAGCCTGAGCAGAACCGTCGTCCCCCCTGACTGTGTGGTCCACCACGAGGGCCTTGGGGAGGTGTCCAGTGCTTTTTGGTCTGTGACCTGAAACTACCACCGGCTCATTCTCCCTGTGCGGGCCCACCATGAGGGACTGCGGGTTGAGGGTGCTGGGTTGTTGGCAGGACAGGTCACTGTGTCCTCCCTAATTCTGGATTTGTTTTTTAGGGCAGCGCACGTTGATTAGTAATGGCTATAAATTCACTTCACTACATCTGGTACCAGAAGGACCCGTTTCTGATTTTTCTAAACCCATTTAATCTGCTCCCCGTGGCCCTGACAAAAGGTGGTCTGAGTGGCCTCAGCTGCTTGGTGGAGGCCCCGTCCCCATGTGCCCGTCCTTGGCCCACCATACCTGAAGGTGGAGCCTGCCCTTTGGTCAACTTGGGTTTCAGATAAGCAACAAGTAATTTTTCAGTGTTATCCCTAATATTGCACAGGACACACTTACACTAAGAAATTATTTCACTTGTTTTTGCTACACCTGGCACCCTGTTGCAGATTCTCTGCGTAGCCTGTGAATAAGCTGTTGTCCACTGAGCTGGCAGGTCTGGGGGATACACTGACTGTGACAAGCTGGCTGTTCAGGAGCCAACTCCCCCCCATGAAACTGAAGCCAGCCCCACGTGTTCACACACAGCAACTGAAAGTCCTGTAGTCACTTCATTTTTGTTTTAAAAACTTAAAACTTAAAGTATTACATAAAGAAAACGAATCATGGATGCTGAGTCAGTGACCACACCGTGACACCAGGGCCACCCACCCACCTGTGCGAGAGCCAGGATGCTTCTGGCACCCCGCCAGCCCCGTGTGCCCGCCCTGCCCCTCCCCTGCCCAGAGGCGACCATGTCTGCCTGCAGCCACTGAAGTAGCAGTGGCCTCAAGGCGGTGACTTAACATCCCAGGCCTGGTGACAGTCGTGACTCCCGTCACTCACACCTCTGTCCCAGCCGGGCGGAGGAACCCTCCCACCCCCTGGAATCATCTCAGCGCCTGGCCCCTGGGAGGTCTGTGTGTGTGTCTGTGCGCGCGTGTGCGTCTGTGTATGCATGTGTGTGCATGTGCACATGTGTGTGTGCACACGTGTGTATGCATGTGTGTGTCTGTGTGCACGTGCGTCTGCGTATGCATGTGTGCCTGTGCTCGTGTGTGCACACGTGTGTGTCTGTGTATGTGCGCATGTGTGCGTGTGCGTCTGTGTGCGCACACGTGTGTGTGCACACGTATGTGCGTGCGCACACGTGTGAGGCCCGGGAGGGAGGCAGGTGTACAGGGCGATCTTGAGCCTTCGGGCAGGCTCACGGCCACTCTTCATGGCGGGGTTTCCTCGTGGTCTTCAGGGCCTTCACTGTGGGCGTCTCTCGGGTACAGCCCCCTGACCGGGCACGCTCCACGGGGTCTCGCTGTCTGGCAGCGTACGACGGTCCTCCAGCTCTCTCCTCTGCTCACCTGGGTCCAGGGGACACACCGTTCTGCCTGGACAACGGGGCTACCCGCTGCCCCCCTGCAGCAACCGCTCACCTGGCTCCACCTCGGGCAGCCGCTGGCCTATGTGGGGGAGGCCCAGGAGGCTTCTCGCGCCAGGCCTGAGGTGGGGGCCTCTGCAGAGAAGCCCTCGTCCTGACCTTTTTTATTCTCCACACCATGAGCCAGCCGAGGGTCCTCGGACACCAGCGTCAAAATCCCTACAGGGCGCGGGTCTTGGGCACCTGGGCGTCTGGTATTGGTCACCTACATGTCCAGGCGGAGGCCCAACAAGACGTGTGCCGCCTTCACCACCGTCAGACACACAGCTGTCCAAGAACCTCACCCGGAATTCCTTAGGAACCTGGTCCCGCAGGGAGGGCTGGGGGGCGCCCTAGAGAGACTGCCCTCAGAACGAGTTCAGGGCTGCTTTTTGGTTGTAAAAAACAAAAAATGTAATTTCTATTCAAGCAGAAAAAGGTGCAAATAAAAGTTAAAAAAGAGGGATGGACTCTCTAGATTGTCATGTGAATACTGGTTGTATTCTTCCCTTCAAAACCACACATAGGCAGTTACGCACATGCACACGTGCACACACGCACACATCTACACAGATGCGCACACACTTATACATGCACATACGCATATATGCACACATGCACATGCACACACACGCACACGTATACACATGCACAGTCAACACACACATGCATATACATGTATATACACGCACACACATGTATACACGCACACACATACACACATGACCACATACACACCTATACATGCACGCACACATGCACACACATACACGTGTGCACACACACATATACACAGATACACACACTTATACATGCACACACATGCATATATACACACATGCACACACATACTTTGCCTTCATTCTCATCTCCTTGTGGCCACCAGATTTCTAAAGCTGCTTGAAAGCCCCTGCTTGTCACCTTGGATCCAGGGCGTCTGGGTTTCCACACGTCTACTCTGTCCCTCATGATGGCAGGACCCATGTGGCTTCACTCTGCTACTCACACTAGCTCGTCGGTCCCTACTGTTTTCACATATAAATCCCCTTTATTCCAAACCTGTGTCACACACTTGTTGGAGATCCTGCTTCTTTGAGTGGATTTGCGGCTAGTGAGAGACAGAGCTGCCTTAGACGGAGGCCGCCCTCTACTATCAAACCCTCCACCACAACCCCCCATAAACCCTCCACCACCCCCCATAAACCACCCCCCCATAAACCCTCCACCACCACCCCCCCCCATAAACCCTCCACCACCAACCCCATAAACCCTCCACCACTATCCCCAATAAACTCCCCTGGGCCCGGGGCTTATTGAGGTAAATCAAGTGTGATACGGGAAAGGTTGTAGCTAATGAGCAGTAACCGCGTGTCTTTGGGGGCCAAGCCTCGTGTGAGATGGGGAGAAACGCAGTGTCTGCTTCCTGTCTGTCTGCTGGTCCCCTTGTCGGCCTGTCAGCAGCTCCAGTGAGACCGAGCGCCTCTCTTATCCCGCTCTGCTGGTGTCTGTGCCTGGGGCTCAACCAGCACCTCCCACCCGAGGGAGCAGGTGTGTCCTCAAAGGCCTGGTGTGCCTTGGCATCTGCTGTGAGATCAGCTCTTCTCCTGCTCCTCCCCACCCACCCGCTCATCATTGCAGGGCCCCATCTGACCCTGGGATGAGCAGGGTCTCGGACTGGACAGGGGCTCTTGGGGTTGGCAGGATCCCTGGCGAAAGGCGCCGGAAGCACCAGGAACCATTGCAGCCTGGCATTCAGATCGGTTGGTCTTGACTCCTGTGATTACCCAAGTTAATGCTGTCTCCGTCTCCACTGGGCCCCGTTCTCCTTCCAACCCCAGGGAGCACCGTGGGAGGAAGCACAGCACAGCTGGGGGTGAATGTTGTCTGGAGGCTGAGGGCTCAAGCCACTTTCCGATTTTAAACCATGAGAAGTCGACCTTGGTTCTGGGCACGATGGAGTTGGCGCACGTTCTCTATTCTGCCTGCCGAGTGCAGCCAAAACCCTGGACACTTCACGTAAAACAAACGGGGAGACTCTGAAAGGTGGAGGGAAGGCAGGCTGGCCGGGGACCTCGAGACCTGAGGAAAGACACGGTGGCGGGTCCCTGGGTTTGCGTTCTGCCTCGCACACCCCAGACCAGGTGCTAGAGAAGCAGCGATGGATACAAACAAAAACAGCCCCAAGAACGGCGGCTGTCTGCCACAGGAGGAGCCAGCCCTGCAAGACAGACACCTTCTGGAAGACGACCGCCTGTGCCCATCAGACGACGAGGACAACCTCAGCCCACCGCAATGGCCCGCGAGGTCCTGGACCTCCACCCATGGCTGTGACAAGGTGCCCAACTGCCCCACTGGGGCCGTGCCCGAGGAGGCCCAATGGGAACGTGTGCTTCCCCCATCCCCTCCCCCACCTGGCAGGAATGAGGAGAACCCCCCATCCTCGGCCATCCATAGACGGGAGGGAACCTGACTCCCACCCCACCTGCCCATCTCCCCCGGGCACTGTATCAGAGGAGGTGGCTAAAACTGATGGCCCATAGGACCCAGAGTCCACAACATGACACCTGTTGTCCAGGAGAGGATGGACAGTCTCTCATTGTTCCAAGAAAACCCCTGGAATGAGAAAACACAACAGTCCCAATGCTGGCATGACACAGATGTTGGAGTTGTCTGATGAGGGCTTTAAAACAGTCGTCACAAAAATGCTTCAACGAGGAACTATGAGATGCTCGAAGCAAATGAAAACGGGCAATCTCAGCAAAGAGACAGGACAATGTGGGTGGTTCTGGTGGGAGGGGCGTTCCATGGCTGTTGGGGTGGCTTGGCCAGGACCCGGAGGAGACAATTTCCCTTCGCTCCCTGAGGCTGCACCGCCTCCCCCTGGGCTGGCCCTGGGGAAGGCCGTGGGGAAAGCCCACAGAGGCCCAGCCCGTGCTCTCCAGGGCCGTCCAGGGTGATGGACAGACTGGCTCCCAGGATATTGGGTCCCGTCTCATCATTGGGACCCGGGTCACACGCCCAGCGCTTCTCGTTTGCTCCTTTACTGGAGTATTGACTGTATTTGCATAGGCGGCTGGGTTTTTCTTGTCTATGGTCTTCAGAGATTTGTAAATGTTTGATTACCTAACGAGAACTCAGCTGCAAGGAGCCTTAGAAGGAACAAGCTCACCCCCTTCTGCTTTACGACGGGGCCGTCCCCACCTCGAGTGTTTAGATGGGCGGGTGGGCCTCAGCTGAGAATAGAACAGACAGATGACAGCAGCATGCTGCTAATAGAAGAACAGTTTTGAAAGGAAAACTTCAATTTGAAAACATGAAATTAAAAATGAATATGAGATGGGCTCTCAGGTTCCACCCAGACGTTAAAATGACGACAACAAGGCTTGATGTGATTTTGTGAAAACCAAACCTCAATTCCTCAGTTACAGTGGAAAAACGTACCCAAGATAAGCAGGCTGAGGGGATCAAGGTCATCGAGAGCCGACTCTCTCTGCGGGGTTATTGAAAACATGTGTGTGGAGCCCGCAGCCTGGTGTTCGACAGCCCGGCCGGGGTGGGTGCCGGCGTCCCAGCTCCAGCCCGTCCCTGTGGTTCTGGGGAAGCCTAGGGCCGCTGCTTTTCCCCGTCAATTTTTAATCCGCACTAAGCGCGGGCCACGCCTGCCAGGGGCATGGTTCTCTCCTTTCAACAGGGCGGCGACCAGGCTGCCGAGACCCACTGCGCAGGCTGTTTGGCTAAAACAGGAGACACTGGACAGATGAGCCTATGGTTGCCGAATCCCAGGCCGAGTTGGCCCTCACGCCCCAGGGAATCGTGTGTGCTGCATGCTCCCTGTGGGGATGTGAGCCAGAGGGCAGTGGAACCTGAGATGTCTGGACGGGCGAAACTTCCTGTTGGCTCACTAGAGGATCTGAGATCATGGTTACAAGGCCTCAGGCAAAGCCCCGAGCATGTTTTCAGTTTAAAAAATTCATGTCTCAGAGCATCTCCCATCTGTCCCTGCCGCCCCCCTCTCCCCTTACACAGGGACAGACGGGCAGGGTCCCTGGACACCGTCTGCATTATTCATTCCCGAGCGTCATCTCCAGGGTTCTTTGGTTACAGGAGGGAGTAGTGTTGTGCTGTCTGCCTCCTCTGACCCTTGAGAGCTGAGAGCCGGGCTGTGCATACTCGCCCCCGCGGTGCTGCCCCCACACAGGGACCCAGGGGCCGCGTTCTGGAACCAACCGGGGAACTACACTGTGCCTGTGGCTGACAGAGGTGGCTCCTTGCTAATTTTTATGGTTCCTTAATCCCTCTCCTAGAGCCAGTAGAGCCCATGTCCCTGCTGTCAGAGCCTGTTGACCCATCTGCTCTAGTAAATTGGTTTTCCCATCTGTCAGACTGAGGTGACAGGCCCTCCACAGGTTCTCCAGTATGGGGCCGAGAAGGCGAGGCGCCCGCAGGAGAGGGACGTGTGCCTGGCATGAGCCCGGCTCGCAGGGAGCAGGTGCCGAGCGGGGCTGGGAATCGAGGTTACTCAGTCTCCCTTCAACCTGTCTTACTGAGCACCTGCCGTGAGCCTGCGCGGTTCTAAGCAGGGGACAGAAAGGCAGGAGTCTCCACCCTCGATGAGTTTATTTTTGTGATAGAACTGCGTATGTGCTGTGGTCGTCCAGCCCGCTACTCCCTCACATCCTGCTTTCACCCGGAAGAGGCAAAGCTGTCGGTCCCTGGAGCCCAGGGAAGGCCGCTCCCTGGCTCTCTGCCTCCCGGCTGCCCCGCCAGGTTCTGCCTCTGCAGTGACTGGGGGCGACCGGGGAGGGCCCCTCCCCCCGGAGCAGTCTCAAGGGGCACATGCATTCTCCTCAGGGCAGCCTGACTACGTATTTTTAAATCACCCTGATCATAATTTAGGTCTCTAAATTATAAATTCGTCTACTTCCTCTGCTCCATTCAAGCTGGGGCCTCTGAGATTCACAGCTTCAGGGAGGGAGGCCTGTGTGGGGCAGGAACCCTGCCAGTCTTCCCATCTTTGGTTTCTCCAAAGCCTCAACCTGGAGGACAACTGAGGTCGTGAGGGAGGAAGAGCGGTGAGGGAGGCCAGTGCCTGAGCGGTGAGCCTGAACTCTGCATTTTCTCATTTCTTGTGTTTACTACTTACCATCTCTCTTCTCCACAGGAACGCCGGCTCCGCTAGGTCTTTGTGTGCTTTCTTCATTGATACTTTCCACGTGTGTGGCTCAGGGTCTAGTGTATGCAGTGGGTGCTCAATAAGTGTTTGTTGAGAGGATCAGTGAGTGAATAGTATTGTTTTCATACTTTAAAACTTTATTTAAATGGCATCACAGTCACCGTAATACTATGAACTTGCATTTTTGCTCCACGTTGTTTTTAAGATTTATTCATGTTGATCCATAAGCTTTCCTTCATTTTGTCCACCACATAGTATACCATTGTATAAGTGGATTTACTTGTCCCTTGTCCCCATGTTGGGTGTTAGGTTTTGTCCACTGTTCTGCCGTTGAACGTGGTGCTGCGCTGAGTAATTCGTAGTGATGGTGCTCAGGGCAAGCTGCCCCAGGAAGCACCACTCTGGTATGCGGATTATTTCGAGCTGAAGACAATAAGGACATTTGACCTCCCCCACTAACTGCCTAAAGAATCTGACATGGTGGCTCATTCCTGGAACAGATCTTCTATCATGATGGCTATAAAGATAATGTAAAATAGATGTTACAATGGGAGGGGCACCAAGCCCCTTTTATCAAAAAACTCTATCTCTCTCTGACGACATTATCGATAGATGACCCTGAAAAGAATTGTCCTCCTGCCCTCTGAAGTCCCAGGCCACTACCCACCCCCAACACGTTCCTTCGCCTTTAGCTGCAATACTTAAGCAAGCAGCTTAGACAGAGGGACGAGTTGCTCATTTCTGAGTTTCTCCCATGTATACATGTTCTTAAACTTGGTATTATTTTCTCCTGCTAACCTGTCTTGTTGATTATTTGGCCAGCCATAAGAACCTTAAGGGAAAGGGCAGAGGGAGATTCACCCTCTTTCCCCGACAGTAGGCATCAGCTTGTGCACGTATGCGAGTTTTCCCATCGCGGTGGACGGTCCCTTTAGAGTGACTGGGGTTCTTAACAATTACCCCGTGCCCAGGGATTCCGGGTCAGTTGGCCTGCGTTGAGCTCAGAACAGTAGTAATGAAGAAAACATCTTGATGGTAAGGGGCAGCCTGGGTTTGGAACCACAGCTCTGGCATCCTTAGCGAGGGAATTTCTGCTCGTGTACATCCATCTTCACGTCTTCAACTGTCCTAAACGTTGCTTTCAAAGTGGTCAGACACGGATAACCCATTAGCAGTGCACGTGGGCTTCTTTTTCCCCACATCCTCTTCAATACTAGTTACTGTGCAACCTTTAAAGATTTGCCAGTAATGTGGGGGTGAACCTGAGGATCCCTGTTCTCAGCCACGCTCCCCCTGAGGGAGCTGGGGGGCTGGGCATCTTCTCCTGTTCACTTGCCGTTCAGGTCCACCTTTGTAAGTGCCTGTTGGTACCTTTAACTCAAAACAATTTTAAAACTGAATTAATGGCCTCAAAAAACGTTTTTTTCTTGCTGCCTCAAGGCAGCCTGTCTGTAACCTGCCTCCTTCCAGTCCTCTCCCTTCCTCCCTGCTGGCAGATTTTACTTAGAACAACTTCAGGGCCATGGATATGAAAAGGAGTGGGTGGGTGGGTGGGGGTCAGGAAAGCATCAGAAAGCCATATGGGGGAGGTGGAGCTAAGGGGCCTGCAGCATTCATTTATTCATTCACTGAACAAGAACTGAGTCTCAGTGCTGTGCACCACCCTCTGAGAACAGAGGCCCCTGCACTGCTGCCCCCCAAGGAGCCTGCTGCCCGTAGGTGCAGAGACAGACCCACCACAACCGCCTAGCAGCACCGCCTGGAGCTAAGTCACCCCCAGGCCGGCCTCCCTGCTTCCATCCCTGGGCACCTGACTGTCCTAGGCCTGTGGCCAGCTTTGGCCAGGCAGTGGGCACAGACCAGAAGTCCAGAGGGACTTTCCAGGTATATTCCACCCTGGTCCACCTCTGTTCCTGCCCACTCACATGCATTCCCTTCCCTGGGGTTCTGATTTCCAGGAAAACCTGGAGGGGACCAGAGGGAGGAAAGGGGAGAAGAGGGGAGGAGGGAGGGAGGGGAGCCGACAGACGAGGAGAGAAGGGGCGGAGCTCCGGCTGATCCTCACAGCCCCTATCGCGTTGTACCGACCATTGCTGTCGCCCAGGAGAGCCAGTCTCCCGCGCTGCCACCGAGGAGCAACTGTGGAGAGCAGCCACTTGCCGTGCCTGGAGGAGCAGCCCCCGCCCCGAGGAGCAGCCCGGGATGCAGCCCCCCGCGCCCCTGGCCCTGCTGGACACGACAGGTGAGCGCGGCTCGAGCGTCCCCTCAGGCTCCCAGTGTCCGGCTCTGGCGTCTGGGTGCAGGTCCATCCTTCCCGCCTCCTTGGAGGGCATCTGCGGGACCCTTGGGGGCACAGGTCCTCATGCACATCCTCTCGGTCTGTTTCTGGACGTCTCTGACTTTGCGCCGTCTCTCCCGTCTCTTTCCCGCGATCATTCCTTAGGAACAATAGACACCATACTTGCAAAAGGACAACCCAAACCGCACTCCTTTTCCGTCTCTTCTACTCTATTTCAGTCTCCAAAAATTTCTAGGAAAAGTTCGTTTCAACAGCCCGGTAGCTTCTTCCTGCTTGAAAGTGACAAGGGTACTGACAGCTGTTTTCAGTGCTGCTCCCTCCAGGCACCCTCCCCACGGACTTCCCCCACAAATTCACAGAATCCCTAATTCTTGGTTTCTCCAACAGAGCCTGGTGCAGCCTGGATGCCAGGCGCCAGCGGGGGAAAGAGACCTGTGCTGCTTGCCCACAGGGTCTGGAGCTGGCCATGGTTCTCTACCGGGAAGTGGCCGGGACAGAAATAACGCCAGGCGTGTTTTGCTGAAGGGAAGACCCACTGCAGGGAGGGTTTTGAAAAGCACAGGAAAAAGGAGTCCAGTGAGTGAGGCTCTGAGGCTGGGCTGGGGGATTGGTGACATCCTGGGGCCGCTGCGTGCTTCAGAAACGGCCCTGTCCAAATCTCGGGGGTTAAACCACACGACCCTGCCTGCAGTGCCTTTGGAAAGTCTCTTTTTAAAAACCAGATTAGTACTGTTTGATTTTTAAATAATAATCAAAGAATCTGGCTTCTTCCTAAAAGAAACAGTTCCATAGCCCCACCCTCTAAAGCTAAACGCTCTGTGACAAAACTTATTAACACGCGTGCGTCACTTAACGATGGGGACACGTTCAGAGAGCTGCACCGTTAGGCGGTTTTGTCGTTGTGCGAACATCACAGAGTGAACTTACACAAACCTGGATTGTACAGCCCACCACACGCCTAGGCTGCTTGGTGCTAATCTTATGGGACCACCGTGGTCCGTCTCTGGTGGAAACGTCATGATGTGGTACGTGACTGTAAACGTGTTTTCATCCTCCAGGAAACGAACTACTTATTAGTGTGTAATAATAATAATAACTGGTTTTTATTATTGTTATTATTAACTAATTATTATATTAGAATGACTTGGTTAAAAAATATCATCTGACTTAGTTTTTTCTTCTTCTGAGGAAGTATAAATTTAAAATAATAAAACTAGGAGTTGGTCTCTTATTTAGAAATATTAAACATTAGTGTGGCTGGGGTGGGATTGTGGAATTTCCCACCTTACGTCTCTGTGGTCTCCACCTTGGGCACGTGTTATGTTAAAATCAGAGACAAGGGAGACGGCGGCCGAGGGACCTCTGCCTCGGTGTGTCTTCCTGGGGACAGTCACTGTGCTTGCACGACGAGGTGTCCACACACAGTTAAGTGAGCTCATTCTTCTTTTGGGAAGCCCATGCCCTGCTGGCAGGGAGGCCAGGGCTCGGAGCCTTCCTAGCTGCCCCCCAGTCTCTGTGACACCCCCTTCCTGGCTCTACTAAGTGGAGAAAGTGCTTGGGAGAGCGACCGGATCTGATCCCCGTCCTTGTGCCTCCTCAGGCGTGACCAGGTTCCGCAGGAGCTGTGGTTCAGCTCCTCGGCCGCGGCTTGGGGCGGGCAGGGCCAGAGGACTGGAGGGGCCGAGGGGGGACGGGGCGACAGTCTGAGATGTTCTCGGAGGGATGCACCGGGGACAGAGCGGAGCTGGGAAAACTCGAGCAGGACACGTGAGCTGTAGCCACTGGCCTCAGCTTCATGCCTCGGAACCTCTCCCTCAACCCTGGTGGAGAAACACGGGTCAGAACAACTGCTGTGCAGTCTCAACGTGACACCACCCGTGATGAATCTACTCCTCACGCTCATGAGAACGTGTGCAGAGCTTTCGCCTCTGTTCTCACATCACAGCGAGGAGGGGTAAAGCAGGAGGTTGTCAGTATCTCCACTTTACAGACCAGGAAACTGAAGTCCGTTCGTTCACTCACCACCGGGAGACGTCTCTGTCTTCTAGGTTGAGCTGGGCACGGGGATCCAGCGGCGAACAAGACAGACACAGTCCCTGCTCTAGCGGATTCTCCTGCTGGGCTCAGAGAGGATGGATGGCTGCCCAAGATCACACAGCAGGTCTGGGCAGACGCAGAACAGTGTGGGTACCGTCCATGTAGCTGCCCCACAATTGCAAACCTAACAGTAGATATATTAATTTACCATCAGGGCACCGTCTTAAGAGCGCTTCAGTTGTCACAACGCACATGATAACATTCCTGCTGACGGGACAGGACGGAGGGGATGGTGCAGGCTGTTCCAGTTGTCTGCCTCCAATTCGGAACCCAAATTCTCTCCAAAACCTGATCTGAAAATGCATATGCCTTGTGGTTATTATAAAGGTATCCAACCTTCTTTTCTTGAGTTTATTTCTTGTTTTCTTATTTTTATGCAATATCCTATGTTTATAAAGTGTATTTAAGGTCGAGATTCTTCTTTTTGTTATCTCTGTTGTACCTGGAGTTAAAATAGTACAGTCTGTGTCATGAGAACGAGTTTGTGCAGAACCGTTCCCCACAGCGTCTCGTATCGATTACGCTGTCTGTCTTTCTGGGCCTCGTATCAACCGCGGAACTACTGACAGAAATGCTGACACTTTCTGCTTTTATTATGCAGCAGTTTCAGGGAAAAGCCAGACTCAGGGCAAAGTGGTGAAACAGCAGTTATACTGAAAACGGTTCGTGGGAAGATTTACGTGATCCCACAGGAGATGCGTTTAACTCTTTACTCCGTGACTCGGGTGTCAGAATGTCCCTAACAGATCGGACAAGGGCTTACCGAATGCTCCTAGCCTAGCGGATCTGATCAGATCACCATCCATCAAGCCAACTTCCCCAAAAAGACGAAGGAAACAGAGCCGAGAGCTTTAACAACCGGAATATAGTGGAGGGGGCTCTGTCAGATAGACGCCCACAGGGAGCCAAGAGACACGGCCCTGAGAAGGCTGTAACTGTGCTGTAAAGCAGATGCCGAGGCATCTGGCTAATTATCTTGAGCGTAATAGCCGTGCAATGCATTAAATTAGGAAAAATGGCAAAACAAAACCCTTTGAGGAGAAAGGCATTTGCCTGATAATTTTCTCAAATACTTAGTCCCACAAAATTTAGTTTTAGGAGTCTTATTGCTCTTAAAACACACTTTACCCATCGAAAGATTGGAATGGGAGCCTAAGGAAAGAAGAACAGTCCAGGAAGAAGAGCTGAAGAGGAAGCCGTGCTGACGGAAAGCGGCTGGTGTCTGGCTTCGCCGGCAGGCGTGCGGAGGCTGGCGAGGGTGATGGGCAGGCGGGGGCCGGTCCTCCCTCCTGGCTGAGCCAGACGAGGAGGCTGGGCGGCTCTGGAAACAGCTACGGTTGCTACTGAGCTACTAGATGGTGGTGTCACCATTAATGTGGTTGTTTTGTGAACTTCCACAGCAACAGTTGCATCAACTTCCAAAACACAGAAGATAGATTTTTAACTTTTGTGTCCGTTTTTTTCAATTTACCCACCTTTCTGCAATTAATCAACCAGACAACTTCTCCCGTGGGGGCTTCTCTTTGTCCCCAGGGTGGCACTGTCATTTCAGGCCCGTTTCCCCACAGACACCCCAGGTCTTCTGCCACCATCCTCATAACCCTGATCTTCCTGACTCCTGGGCAGACTACCTTGTGCAGATGTCCTTGGTTTCAGGCTTGAAACAAATGCAAGAAAAAAAGTAATTGCTGTCTCTGCACGTATACTTCTTTGCAAGTAAGATGTGTGATAGTAACAGAGGGGAAAGTCCACTATGGGGAACTCCCAGAGCACGTGCAAATGCCCTGTGTCCCGAGGGGTCAATTGTCTGCTTGCACTTGGGGCTGTGTTTTCCTGTAGACACTCCTACGAACAGTTCACCCTCAACAATTCTTATATATTTGTAATAGAAACTACTAGAAAATAACAAAAGAGCAATTTAGAAGCAACCAGATGAAGCAGTATTGACTTCTCTTGCCTGTAGATGAAGAATTCTGTGGAGCTCCTGAGAACTCTTTCCAAAGCTTGTGCGAGGACTGTGGGTTTATCTTCTGTTTTATTAAGGTTAAATTTCACTTCAAAACTTTTACTTTCTCCTTAAAAATATTTTGCCCTGAAATTCCCCTTGTAGAAATTTATCCTAAAGAAGTAATTAGAGGTGATAGAAAGATTTATGTACAAAGACATTGTGGTTTTTAAAATATATATAGACTTTATTTTTCAGAGCAATTTTGGGTTCACAGCAAAATTGAGGGGAAAGTACAAAGATTTCCCCTCTACCCTCTGTCCCCACACAGGCACAGCCTCTTCCGAGATCAGCATCCCCACCAGGGGAAACTTTGCTGCGCTCAATGAACCCACACTGACGCGTCGTCCCCCAGAGCCCACGGCTGACACCAGGACCACTCAGTGTTGGGCAGTCTGTGGTTTGGACAAACGCATAACGTCACGTATCCATCGTTGTAGTATCAGACAGAGCAGTTTCACTGCCCCGAAAATCTCCTGTGCCCCAGCTGTTCATCCCTCCACCTTGTGTTTTGAATAATAAAAGTTAGAAATAATAAAAATTTAGAAATAACCCAAACATACAACAGTAGAGCTAGATTAATTGGCTCATTCATTTGGTGGAACTCACTATTGTGAATAAGAATTATGTTTAGAAAAGTATTTAAGAAGTTGGAAAATTCTTACAGTATATTAAATGAAAAAAAACCCCAGATTTTAAAACATTTTGGTCCCAATTAAAGGAAAAAATGCTTTAAAAAGTAGATAAGTGCATTGAAAAAAGACAATACGGTTATGTGCCCACCTGCCAATTTTGGGTGATGGGATTACCGTGAACTTTATTTTTTTCTTTTGTATTTTTCTGTACTTTATATATATTCTACAAAAAGTAACTATTGCTTTTATGAGAAGAACAAAAATCACACATTTTTAATATAAACCTACAGTCTTCTTTTTCCTTGTAAAAACGTCCTTGTCACCTTGGTAATATTTCCTAGGCCCAGTTAGGGTTGGTTTTAGTTCACAGACACAACGAGGGGTGTGGGAAGAGAAATTCCCGAGGTAACTGAAAAAGTCAGGCGTGGAAAGAAGAGGAGGTGAGACGGAGGAGAGGACACGGTGGGGGAGAATCCGAGGATGCTGGGGCTGGAGCGGCTCTTGGCAAATGTGTCCACTCTGCCCCCACGCCCGGGGCAGACATGGTTAATGGGTCCAGGACATCTCAGACACTGAGTGGGGACTTCCTCGCCGTCCACGACGCCGCAGCAGGAACAGGAAGTCACTTGCTTCTGGTCACACACCAAGCAAGGCCCGTCCTCTTGACAGAAGCCCGACAGTGGCCTGGGCATCAGGCCACACGGGTTAACGTTTGGCCAATGCCCTCAGGACAGAGCACCTCTGGAGAGCTGTGGGCTGCGGAGTGGCCAGTGTGAGGCTGGACATGGGTAGGGAGGGTCACCGTAGGACATGTGCCAAGTTTAGAAACATCAGGACATGTCGCAGAACCGCGTCTGAGTGATGCGGCCACTGCGTGGTCATGGGCAGTCAGCGTTGTCACTGTGCTCCTGCTCTGTCCACTCATGTGTCCACTCAGGGGTCCACTCATTGTCCACTCATGTGTCCACTCACGGGTCCACTCATTACTCAGACCCTCAACGCTTATTCTGCAGAAGCTGCGGTGGTGGACTGGCAGCCCACCGCCAGGGCGCGTCTGCGAGGCTCAGATGAGGGATGTGCTCCCCGGCGAGTGGCACGTGGCCGGCCCCTGGGGGCAGCAGTCACACGACTTGTTGTTGAAGTGGGGTGGCCCTTCGAAGCGAGGGCCGAAACAGGTCTAGGAGCCCTGCATCGCCTCTGCTCTTGCTGGGGTGCACTGTCCGCACAGCGGCCACGGAGCTGCCGGAATCAGGAAAAACCCCAGAGCAACGCCCTCCTCTGCTCAGAGTCTCCAGCAGCCCTGCTCTCTCAGGGCGCAGCGGGGCAGGCGGGAGAATTTGTCCCTGAGGACGCCAGAAATAAACCTGCTTCTTAGGGAGGCGGAGAGGGGAGCACATAACCGAGGGAAATCTGGAGCCTGATGGCGGGGCTTTGCATCCCAGATCCCCACGTCAGCGTCTGGAGAAGCTGTGCCAGGCCTGCTGTGAGGGGCCTGCAGACAGGCTGCCTGCGCCAGGGGAGCCCCTTCCCCCACCGCCACCCCAGGACCTAGAGCTGCAGGCTGCCTCTGGCCCGAGACGGTCAGCTGGCTAGTCGGGAGCCAGGGATTTACGATCTTAGTGAGAATTGACCTCGTATTCCAGGGTGAGGGTCACAGGTGGTGTAGGACGAGAGTCTTGGGAGAAGGTCCTCCCAGGGGTCTGGAGACGCAGGGCTGTGCAGAGGGCCTTATTGCGTCTGAGGGGGTGCTGGGGAAGGGAGGGCGGGGCCCCGTCGGGGTTCGGCTTGGCCTCAGGAGGAAGTGTCCTTCCCCAGACGCCCACCCGTGCTGGCTCACTGGGTCAGAACGGCGTTCTCTGGTCAGCCAAGTTATTCTGAGTTTGCACCTTGATTTACGGTTTTGCATCATTTATTTCCGAGGATGTAACAATCCCATTCCTGGGGTTGTGACCTTGACTCGCTGTCAGGCTTTGCGAAAGGACGGCACACGTGTGAACCTGCAGACACAAACCTCTGGAGCATGAGGACGTCTGCCTGCCTTGAGTCAGGGGTCACTGCGCCAGGGGTCTCCGGCAAATATGCAGCCGCCTCCCCCGTCACAGGCACTGATACACGCTTGCGCACACACGTACACTCACACATCCTCACACACACTCACACACCCTCACACATGCTCGCACACACGAACGCTTGCACACTCTCACACGCACACACTCACATACTCTCACACACTCACACGCACACGCAATGTGGATTTCAAACACTTGGGCCTGGGAAGAAGCACCGTGTTTTCCCTTCATCTGTCATTCAGCTTTCGACTCCCAAGGACCAAGACGGTTAAGCTTCCACACCAGCCGCGCTGGGCTCAGCGAGTCTCTCCTCGGCCCCCCGCCGTCTCTGCCTCCGTGTGCACTTGCTGGTGACCAGCTGGGAGCAGGTGTGTCTGAGAGCGAATGGCTGTCGTAAAGAGGCCAGTGTGCCCTCCCCGCACACATGGAGAAGGAAGTCAGATAAACGCGGACCCAGACGTCAAGCCTCGGGGCGGGGGGTGGGATGCGGGCGGCGGGGAGGTTTCCTTTCTTCCTTCTTTCTTGAGTTCTGTGACCATTAGAATTGGGTTTGGCTGTAAATACCAGGACATCCAAATAGTGGCTTATAATCCAGAGATTTTATTCTGTTACCTAATCAAAGCGTGGACGTGGGTAAGCCAGGGCTGTCTTCCTGCTCTGTCATTCTGCCTGTGTGGCTTCCGTCCTCAGGTTTGCTCTTGGTCCGAAATGGCTGCTGGGGCTCTGCTTTCTGTTCATGTTCTAGGCAGCAGGAAGGATGAAGGGGAGAAAGGCAAAGGACACGCTCCTTTGAGAGGTTTCCTGTGGGTCCTGCCCACTGACCTTTGCTTAGATGGATAAGTAACCATGCGGCTGGAACAGAGGCTGGAAAATGCAGTCTTTCATGTGGGCAGGTTTCCACATCCCATACAGGGGCCTGTGCTCGGGGGAGAGGGAAATGGAGGCCCAGGGGCAATGGTGGTCTCCGGCACACTTTCTGCTTTCTTTCTGCCCCTCCCCATTCAATCCTTCACTGTTGGGGGCTGAGCTAGATGCTGGAGATGGCGGACAAAACACCTTGCGTGCCCTTGGGGGTGACAGCTGTGTGGACAGGCCACAGGCTATCGAGAGGGACGCGCATGCTCCCTTGGAGCGCGACCTGCTTAGCCTGGTCCAGGCAGAGTGTGAGCGTCTCCCTCCAGCCTCCAAGCAGGCAGGTGTCCAGGCTCAGGACTCGGCAAGGACCTAGGGGCTCTTGTTAACACAGGTGAGGTGCTAGAGTGGCAGCCGGCACGTGGTGGATGCTCGGTAAGTGGTTGGCCTGACTTGCCGTGTGGGTTGCCGGGGTGAAGGCGTTTGGGGACCTGTAGTCTGGGGAGGCGACGGCATTGGAGGCGAGCCACTGCGGCCCTGACGTCTGTTGAGAATCTGCTGTGTGGGGTGGCCTTAGGTGTGTGGGAGGCAGTGGGGACAAGACAGACCCCCACTCGCCCTTGTGGACTCCTCCTCGGTGGGATGGATGACGGGGCTGTGAACTCAGGAGCTGATGGTCAGAGTGACCACTGGGTGCAGTGGGAACTGTGGGGGACAGGGGGCCGGGGGCTCCTGCTTCTGCCCCGGTGGAGGTGCGGAGGAGGGAGGCTGTGCAGGTGAGATGAGCAGGGTAGAGTGCTATTTAGGACACGATGCCAAGGAATCTGGCACAACCCTGTAAGGTAGGTGAGGGGCGGCGAGGGTGACTCGCCTGAGTTCCTGCTCTGAGAAACAGGGCGAGCCGGAAAGAAAGGGGTTGTGCGTGTGGGTGGTCTGGGGGGTTTCCAGAGGCCTGTTCAGTGCGCCTGAGGAGAGAGCAGCAAATGTGCCCATGTTGGCTGGGACCCCCGCTCAGCCCCGGCCCCTGAGTAACGGCTCCCCATTTGTCCTCCTCCCAGAAGGGTTTGCAAGAAGAAAGAAGACTTCCCTCTGGTTTGTGGCGTCTCTGCTGGTGGTGTCCATCTTCATCCTGACCGTCGGCCTTGCCGCCACCACCAGGACGGAGAACGTGACCGTGGGGGGCTACTACCCAGGAATCATCGTGAGTCACAGTCCCGGGGGTCTGTGGGGAGGCGCAGGGGCTCGACGGTTGCTGTGTGGTGGGGACACTCCGCTCCAGCCCCACAGAGTTGGGGACCAGGGCACGGAAACTTCCATTGGTGATTGTGGTTGGCAGAATAATGACCCCAAAGGCGTCCGTGTCCTCCTCACTGGGACCTGTGAATGTGGGGGGCTACACAGCAAAGGGGCTCAAGGTTGCCAGCCAGCCTGGAGAGGGGGCGGTCATCCCGCACCGTCCAGAGGTCCAGTGTGAGCACGGGGTCCTTCCACATGGAGGAGGGGCAGGGGAGGGGTCGAGCCACGTGATGGGAGAGGATGCCCACGGTGGAGGAAGGGCCATAAGCCGAGGGGTATGGCCACCCCTGGACGCACGAAAGGCCCAGCCACATCCTCCCCCAGAACCTCCGAGGGAACCAGCTTTGTGACGCTTGGATTTCAGCCTCATGAGACCAAGCTGACGCTTTACAAGCTGCCTGCCTAGGAGCCTTGATTGAAGTTTGCGTTAATATTGTGACCAGATGGGAGCAGCAGGAGATGACGGAGCCAACCTCGTCCACTTCTGGTTTCAGATTTTGGACACCGACTCCACCGGCTAAAGCGATGACAGCTAATCAGATCTGGCAAGAAGCGGTCACCCAAATCCAGAATTATCTAGAAGAATTTTTACCTATGAATTCACATCTGCTGTTGTCAGCAATAAAGTCTGCTCCAAGTGTCCACGTCATGCTCAGGGAAAGTTTGTGAAGTTGCCTTTTATTGGCTACGACGCCCTTAAAATGCACCAGGACCCTGAGCTGCTGTCATAAAGTGCTAAACCAAGATTCTTTTTAAGAATGAAGCTTATTTAATCACATTACTGTCACTAGCAGTGTTATCAAGACTAGTAATAATATTGATAACATTTTTAGCAAGGGTGAAAAGGATTTTGGCACTCAGATTTAAAAATATTTTACAAATGTTGTTCATTTCATCTTCATGCTGTCCTTCATTGTTATATTCTGTCTGTGCTTTATAAATCTGCATTACCCACTTGTATGTAATTTACGGGTGAACATATATAAATAGTGTCTGTGCAGAAAGTTTCATCAGTGGAATCGCACGTTGAAGACCCTGCTTTTCTGCCTTGCGCCCTGGACTGGAAGGGGAGCCAGGAATTTGGGGGCTAGTGGCTGAGGACACGTCCTCCCAAATTTCCTCAAAGGATCAGGATCCGTCTCGAGCGGCAGTGTTTTCCTTGTTCTTTAAGCTTTGCTTACTCAGGACTTCGTGTCAGATCCTGTTCAGAGCCTCCTGTGCCGTCAGTGCTGTGTCCACAAGGCCCCCGATTCCCAGTGGTGACGGGAGGGAGTGAGCTTTAGCCCGGCAGCTCTGAGGGGAAACTGTGGACACGGTGTGAAATTCACTCAGAGAAAATGTGGACAGAAGTCACTCCCGTGGCGGTCCCGTGCCCAACCTGCAGACGACGGGGAGAGCGGACCTTGGGGAGAACCTGCAGCCCAGCATCTCCTCCTCCTGGGGGCCGGGGCTGTGCTTTCTCGAGGAGCAGGAAGACTGACTCTCAGGAGCCCCAAGACCGCCCGAGTCAGAAGCCATCTCCGAGCGGCATCAGCATGCCCATGGGTGACCGTCAGCTCTTCTTCTGAAGTGCCCTCGGGTCCAGTTTCCCGGTATCTCTCCCGGGGAGTCGTTCTCTGACAACGACAGGACTGCAGACAGGCCCAGGGGCACGAGCAGGTGGGCCTCTCGCCTGATGACCAGAAGATGCCCGTGAGGGGTCTGGGTTACCATGGAGACGTTGTCCCTCCGTGCTGGGGTAGGGGCACACGGTACTCTCTTTTCTGTAACCAAGAGGCAAACTGAGTAAGAGTTAAAATATGTGGACGTAGAAGATGAGATGGGTCACGTTTCAGCAGCTTCTGTTCCGATAGCGGCTCTGATGAAGCCCATGAGGCCCACCCAAGCAGGTGTGCTCCCATCTGCCCCTTATCGGTTAGCCTTTGTGGTGGGAATGGCCAGCCTCGCGCCTTTGGTGAGTTGCGTTCAGGGTGGGAGTCTCCGTGCACTATTTACTGTTGCGTGTCAGCAGTGAGCTGCCAGCCGTGTAACCGAGCGCTCTCTCCCTTGTTTTTCCTCTGGTGTCAGCTGGGCTTCGGATCTTTCTTGGGAATTATTGGCATCAACCTGGTGGAGAACAGAAGGCAAATGGTAAGAGTGTATATTGTTTCTTTCAAATGTGGGGTGGTGGGGAGTGCTTCCCCTCAGCAGAGGATGTTACAGCATTAGCCGGCGTTCCTGGGAGAGCCCCCGCCCCAATCCAGCAGCCCACGGGATCAGCACTGAGGTTCCCCAGGCTGCGCACTGCACAATTCAGGGGTTGGTGGGTGCCATTCTCACCTTAGTCTAAGTGAGCGTCGCCCCGAGGGTCGTAGGGTACATCTACAACCTCACACGGAGGTCCCAGCAGCTCAGGTTGTCATGGGAAGAAAAGCTCAGGGTGTGGGGTGGGGTAGGGTGGTTGGCAAATTAAATTAAATCATGGCGTGTGAAGTTCAGGCCAAAGCATCTGTGAGTGAGCATCTCTCCTTTCTGAGTCGATAGGCCCAGCGTCTGCTCTTACCTCTGGACACGATAGTGTGTGGGCTTCCCCAGACTGAGGAGAGGAGCAGTAAACGGAAGAACAGGAGGCCCCGTGGTTCAGACGATCTTGACAGAGTGGGAGTCTAGACACGGCCCGTCCACGCGTGTTTGCTTGTGGATGTGTGAACGGCAAATGATCAATTTTACTAACCTGATGTCTTTACTGATCATTTGAATTTGGAATCTGTTTGTTGGTGTGCTGCTTTCGGGAATAGAGCTATAAGAATAAGTGGTTAATTTTGCCAATTCGGTGGACAGCCGATGTTGAACTTTGAGAGTGGTGTTCGGAGGGGATGTGGCCATTTCTGTCTCATCCCCGAATTATTGTGTGAGACCACGCTGGCGTTTTCAACGCCCCCTGCACTGGCTGTCGTCCTGTTGTGTCCTCAAGTTCCCAGCGGCCTGCCCTGGGGCTTCCCCGGGTGTGTGAGGAGCGTGCAGTAGATGACCCCAGATGGCAATGGGACCCATTACCCCACTCATTCTGTTCCCTGGCCCCCTGGCCAAGAGGGAAGGTCAGACGGCTTGGCCATGGTGTCTGCTGTCAGAACCCACAGGGGAGGAGAAGACGGACCTTGGGTGGGAGGGCCCTGGACGGGGCTGGGGAGGGGGAGGTCAAGGAGACTGGGATTTGGGTAAAAAGAGGTGTTTAGCCCCAAATATTGGGAGGTGATGATGCATCGCAGGGCGGGCCGAGACCCGATGCTTTCCTCCGGAGTGCAGTGCGGGCTCTTCCTCTGTGTCCACCCGGCTTATCCATTCTCCGCTTTGCCTGGCTGATAGGGGAATATCAGCCTGGGAGGGCACAGTCTCGGGGCCCCTGTAAGCCCCCCATCTCCCAGTGAATCTCTTGCAGGAAGGAAGTGAGAGGGGCTGAGTTGAAAAATAAAAGGAAGCCCTCGCTCCTGTGTCTGCTGAGGGAGCCCCAGGGTGGAGGGAGTGCCTTTCGAAATTCTTACCAGGGCTCCTTCTGTGCGCTGACCACTTGAGTGACATTTAAGAATCTTCACTGGGGGAAATATGTTTCCTTCCATGCTTTTTGTTAGTGCCCCGGAGTCGATTCTGACTGTTAGCGACCCGTGGACAGCAGAGCAGAACCCTGCCTGGTCCCTCTGCGCCATCCTCCCACCTTCTGGTGCTCTATCAGACGATGCTCTGCTGCTATTCATAGGGCTTTCATGGCAATTTTTTCGGAAGTGGGTGGTCAGGTCCCTCTTCCTAGTCTGTCTAGTCTGGAAGCTCCACTGAAACCTGTCCACCATGGGGGATCCTGCTGGTGTTTGAAATACCAGTGGCAGCGCTTTCCACATCACAGCAACACGCAGCCGCCACAGTGTGACAACCTACAGATGGTGGTGTGGTTCCCTGCCCGGGAAACGAACCCAGGCCGAGGCGGCGAGAGCTCCGGATCTTAGCCCCCAGACCACAGGGCCGGCTCCTTCCATGCTAAAACGCATTTCAGTGTCACGACTCCGGAGAGGGAGTGATTGACAGCTACTCTAAGGTGTGAAGGCTGGCATTGTTTTCTGTAGAAAAAGCTGGTGCTGGAGAGAGGGCCTCCCCGTTGCTTGAGGAGAAACTAGAACCCCGCTGTGGAGGGACGCACCCTTGTCCCCCACTCGCTCTCTCGCCACACTCCTGTCGCAGCCCCTCTGCCTCCCACCCCTCCTGCCCAGCTGTCGCCTGGCGTCCCTGCACGCCCCCGCGGTCTCTCGGCTGCGCTCCTACCTTCCGGGAGGGTTGGGGCGCCTGCCTGAGGCAGGTCTCTGCACCTTTGGTCCACAGGTTGAGGGTCTCCCGACAGACATGGCTTCCTACATGATTTCCCCAAAGGGGCGGGCCGGTGGTGAAGCTAGGGGTGCGGCCACGTGCCAGGTGGCCTGCAGGCCGCACACTCTTGGGAGCTGTGGACCGAATCTGGTCCTTAGAGGCCTATTTCTTTCCCCTCTTTTTTTTAAACAGCTGTATTGAGATGTAATCCACATAGCATATAATTCACCCATTTAATGTGTAAAATCCAATGGATTTTAGCACATCCACAGATACGTGCAACCATTACCACAGCAAAGTTTAGAATATTTTCATCACCTTGACAAGAAGCCTATACCTGTTAGTTATCAGCCCTCCAGCCCCCACCTCCAGCCCCCAGCAACCACTCATCTACTTTCTGTCTATAGATCTCCTATTCGGGACTTTCGTATTAATAGAATCATACACCATGTGGTCTTTTGTGTCCGGCTTCTTTCACTTAGCTTAATGCTTTCAAGGTTCGTCCATGTCGTCATGTGTGTCAGTGCTTCATTCCTTTCTATGGCTGAATCACACTCCGTTGTATGGATGGACCACATTTTGTTTACACATCCTCAGCTGATGGACAGTAGAGCTGCTGCCACATTTTGGCTGTTGTGCATGATGCTGCTCTCAACATTTGAGGTCAAGCTTCTGTGGACGTATGTTTTCTTTGCTCTAGGGTCTGTATCTAGGAGTGGAATTGCTGGGTCACATGGTAACTCTACATTTAATCGTTTGAGGAACTGCCAGAACTGATTTTAAAGTGGCTGCCCCGGTTTACCGTCCCACCAGCAGCGGATGAGGTTCTCTACATCCTCTCTTGTCGTCGTCTGTGTTGTCTATTCTGGCCATCCCCGTGGGTGTGAAGTGGTGTCTCATTGTGCGTTCGATTTGTGTTTCCTCGATGCCTAATGATGTGGAGCTTCTTCTCGTGTGCTTATTGGCCTTTTGTAAATCTTTTTTTGGAGAAATATCTATTCGAATCCTTTGCTCATTTTTAAATGGAGTGACTTGTCTTTTTATTACTGAGTTGTCAGAGTCCTTTATATATTCTAGATACAAGTCCTTATGAGTCACATGATTTACAAATATTTTCTCCCATTCTGTGGGTTATCTTTTCACCCTTTTGATGGTGTCCTTGGGCACAAAAGTTTTCAGTTTTGACAAATTTATCCCTTTTTTTCTTTTGTTGCTTGTGCCTTTGGTGCCCTTTCCAAGAATTCCATGCCAATTCCAAGGTCATGAAGATTTGCCCCTATGTTTTCTAAGAGTTTATCACTTGCATTTAAGCCTTTGGTCCATTCGAGTCAACTTGTGTCTACAGTGTGAGGTGGGGTCCACGTTCAATCTTCCGCATGTGGCGCCTCGGTTGCCCCAGCACCATTTGGTGAAAAGACTATCCTTTCCCCACCGAATGGGCTTGACACCGTTATTGATGATCCCTTGGGCATGGGTGTGTGTGTTTATTTTTGGACTCTCAATCCTATTGTGTTGATCTATGAGTCCGTCTTTGTGCCAGGACACACCGTCTTGAGTACCACTGCTTTGTAGTAAGTTTTGAAATCAGGACACATGCGTCCTCTGACGGTGTTCCTCTTTTTCGGGATTGTTTGGTTCTTCTGTGTCCTTGCAGCTCCGTATGAGTTTTAGAATCAGCTTGTCAATTTCTACAAAGAAGTCAGCTGGGATTTTGATAGAGACGATGGTGAATCTGTAGACCAGTTTGGGGAGCATTGCCATCTTAACAATGTTAAGTGTCTTGACCCATGAACACGGGATGTTTTTCCATTCTTTTAGATTTTCTTTCATTTCTTTCAACAATGTTTTGTTATTTTAAGAGTCTAAGTTTTGCCTTTCTTTTGTTAAATTTATTCTTAAGTATTTTACTCTTTTTGAGGCTATTGTGAATGGAATTGTTCTCTTAACTTCATTTTTGGATGTTTCATTGTAAGTTATAAAAATACAATTGATTTTTCTATGTTGATCTGGTATCTGCAACCCTGTTGAACTCATTCATTACTTCTAATGGTTTTATAGTGGATTCCTTAGGATTTTCGATCCCTAAGACCACGTTGCCTGCAAACAGAGATAGTTTTGCTTCTTCCTTTCCAGTCTGGATGCTGGAGGTCGACTTCTACAGCTTTGGTAAAAGAAATGTGGGCCTTGGAATGGGAGGATAAAAACCCAGAAGTGACAGCAGCCGCCAGAGCAGCCTGAGCCAGGAAGCCTCCCTGTCTGCCGGGTGAGGGGGGCACCGGCTTCCTCAGACCAGAGCTGTCTGAGCGGAGTTGCTTGTGGTGCCTGTGGAATCATTTCTGCCTCTTCAGGGGAAGCAGTCTTCCAGGCTAACTTTCTATGATAAACAAATATTTCGCTATCTAACATTTAACTTAGTATTTATGAAAGCTGAAACCTGTATCCACCACTAGTAGCTGTGTGAACTTGGGGAACCTACTTGACCATTTTGAACCTCAGTATCTTCATTTTCAGGGTTGCTGGGCGCATCTGAGTTGACGCATGTGAGAATATCTAGCACAGCGCTGGCCCATGACAGGTGTTCAGAGAATAGTAGCTGTTGTTACGTTTCATATGAATTTACATTACTGTATTTAAGCACATAGGTTAGTCAGAACAGTCGAGTTGTTTCAAAAGGAGACAACAGCAAGCTGAGGGAATGTCAGCCGAAGAAAGAATCCTTGCATTTCAAATGCATCCAGATACATAAGAATGCTTTCTTCTTTCTTGATAGAAAACTTAAACACATACACAAGTAGACA